TGAGTCTTCATATCTTTAACAAGAACACAAATACAGCTAATAAGGATTCTAATATTTTAAGAAGCGATCTTATTTTAAATAGCTCTGATGGAGCTGTGGTAAGGCATTCATGTATGAAGTACGAACCTAGGAAAACTGCAAGTTGTCAAAAATGAAATAGAACACATAAAGATCAGTATCCTAGGCACTAGTAAGATGAAATGGACTAGTTTTGGTCATTTTGAATCAGACAACCATATGATCTACTATGGCGGGAATGACAAACTAAAGAGGAATGGCGTGGCATTCATCATTACAAAGAATGTTTCAAGATCTATTCTGAAGTACAATGCTGTCAGTGATAATATCTTTATGCTTACAAGGAAGACCAGTTAACACTATTGTTATTCAAATGTATGCACCAACCACCAAAGCCAAAGATGAGGAAATTGAAGATTTTTACCAACTTCAGCAGCTTGAAATTGACCAAACATGCAATCAAGATGTGTTCATTATCAGTGATGACTGGAATGCAAAAGTTGGAAACAAAGAAGAATCACTGCAAGTTTCGGCTGCTAACCAAAAGGCTAGTGGTCCAAACCCACTAGCTGGTCACAGGAGAAAGATGAGGCAGTCTGCTTCCATAAAGATTGACAGCGTTAGAAACCCTATAGGGGTTGAAATGAGTCGGAATCAACTTGATGGTAGTGGGCAGTGGGTAGTCTTACTTTATCTTACCTTACAGCATTAATTTCCTACTTGGTACTTAGTCATGTGACATCAAACTTGCCTTAGCATTTTTTTAAAAAACCTTAGACCAGTCTATAAAACAGAGGATTAGCCTAAGTCTGGCAGATGTAAAACACATAATTCGTTTAAAAGAAAACAAATTGTAAAACATAACAAGAATAACATGTAACACTAATTGCAGCTGATTACACCAGGTTATTTTCATGGAAACTTCTCAGCTATATGACAACTCAATTCCAAGTAAAAAACATAGTAAATCAATTTTTATAAAGATCAAAGACAACAGCTTTCAGTATAAATTCTATCTCAACATAAAGAAAATAAAAAGCCTCACAACTAGACCAATAACCAACATCATGATAAACAGAGGAAATGTTAAAGTTAACAAGGATTTCCTTTTACTTGGATTCACAATCAATGTTCATAGAAGTAGTAGTCAAGAAATCAAATGACATAGTGCATTGGGCAAATGTACTGCAAAAGACCTCTTTAAAGTGTTAAGAAGCAAAGATGTCACTTTGAGGACTAAGATGTGCCTGACCCAAGCTATGGTATTTTCAATCACCTCATATACATGTGAAAGCTGGACAAGGAATAAGGAAGACTGCAGAAGAACTGACGCAGTTGAAGTAAGGTGTTGGCAAAGAATACTGAATACGCCATGCACTACCTGAAGAACAAACAAATCTGCTTTACAATAAACATAGCCAGAATACTCTTTAGAAGCAAGGATAGTGAGACTTTGTCTCACATACTTTGGTCATGTTATCAGGAAGGTCTAATCCCTTGAAAAGGACATCATGCTTGGTAAAGTAGAGGATCAACGAAAAAGAGGAAGACCTTCAACAAGATGGACTGTCACAGTGGCTGCAATGATGAACTCAAACAGCAGTGACTGTGAGGATGGTGCAAGACTAGGAAGTGTTTCATTCCATTGTATGTAGGGTGGCTGAGTCAGAACTGACTTGACAGCATCTAACAACAACAAAAACAAATCAACTTCCTCTATTTAGAACAGATAATTAGACAAACTGGAAAACGTTTCTAAAATGAACTAGTTGGAGATTATTCCCTGGAAATAAAATCCATACCTGAAACTGTACAATAGAAAGAATTCCTCTTAAAGCTTTATTTTAAAACCAACATATTACCAAAACAATGTGGAATATGAACTTCAAGATAAAGAATCAACATATTAAAAATCACCATAGAGGACCAGTATACCATGTGATCCTCAGCCTATATGACTATGAGACCAGAAGATCTACATGGTGCCTGACTACCACTGTCAACCACTCAGAGGGGTATGTATGTAGGAGACCCTGGATAGAGTGGGGGAACAATATGGAACAAAACTCAAAATCATAAAAAAAAAAAAAAAGGGCCAAGTTTGCTGGTCCAACAGAGCCTGATGGAACCCCTGAGACTATGGCCCCTAGCTGCCATTCAAGTCTGGAATTGAACCCACTCCTGTGGCTTCCAGCCAAACAAAAGACAGGCATATGAGCTGAACATTTACATTAGGTAGATACACTCCTTGGAGAGATCAATCATGGGACACCAGAAGGTGTATGCACAGGAAGATGGCCTGGGGGGCAGGAGCACATGGGAGGGAAGGACACAGGGAAGAGGTGGCTATGGGGAGGAAGTGAGAGGAGAGCTGTTGCATTGTGGAAGATTACGGTAGATGTCATGAGACAAAGTGTATGAGATCTATTGTATGGAAGATGAATTTTCTCTAGAAACTTTCACCCAATCAAAATTAAAAAAAAAAAAAAAATCATCTTAGAAGCTTTGACTACCAATATCTAGCTTTCAGTCCAAACTAAATCTGTCTGAGTCTATGGGGGTGAGTGTATTTTTTTTTTTAAAAAAGTCCTCCAGACACACACACACACACACACACACACAGAGTGATGGGTTGAGAACCACCAATTTAGGCTTTAATATAGACATAATCACAAAGACTTCCAAGCATTTTTATCAATAAAATATTGTAATCTTCAGGATTTAAGCCAGCCACATAACAAGGTTGGATACTTTTGGCACATATTACTAATCAATCCCTGAGGGTCAGCCTTGCACCATTTTTTAAAAAATATTAATATTCAAATAGAGTGAAAATATGTGAGATTTTAGTTGTAGCCCTTTGTTTAAATATTTTTGATGTCATGATCAATGTAACTTTCCTCATTTAGCATAAGAAAGTCAGCTTTTAGAAAGAAGTATGTATATCCATCAAGAGTCAGTCAAAGGAAAAGACAGGTCAGAAGAAATCAGGACTAAGAGGTGGATCAGGATGATTAATGTGAATCCTAAAGAAACAGCTAGCCATGACTAAAGATGCTGAGAAAAAAAACTAGAAGGTATGGAAAGTTCAGGATGAGTATGATTGGCATTCAGTGGCCTAGACACAACAATGGACATAAATATAACCACCCAGATGCCAAACTGGGCATGAAGAAAAGAGGCAGGAGCCTGGATTAGGAGGCAAGAAAAAGCGTATCAGAATCTAGTAGAGTCACATGGATCCCCAAAACAAAATGAACTCTTGGGCCAAAAGCCTATACTGCCTGGAAGGCAGGAGTACAAAGAATTGGACTGGATTATTAGATTGCACTATTAAACTGCATTTAGCAGTGACTACAGTAGAGAATTATAGCCTGCTGAGCACTCACCAGTTCTAAAAACGTGTCTTATAAATTAATGGAATCTTTCAAAGGGGGCCTTAAAAGCCATTTATTTTAACCATCCATCCAGTGCTATAGGCCTGTATTTCATTTATGTCTTTCCAAAAAAGGTAAATATGTCAACATCTTTTACAAGGGTAAAAGAACGGTAAAACCCAAAAACCAAATCAACTGCCATAGAGTCAATTCCAACTCATAGGAAAGAGTAGAACTGCCTTGTAAGATTTCCAAGGCTGTAAATCTTTATGGAAGCAGACTACCTCATTTTTCTCCCACAGAGCAGCTGGTGGATTTGAATTGCTGACCTTTTGGTTAGCAGCCAAATTCTTTAACCACTGAACCACCAGAGCTCCTCAAAGAATGGTAGGACTCAGTTCACTTTGAATAACGATGTACACTGATCTAAAGTAAAATGTAGACTTTTAGTTCATCATCTACACTCAAAAACAACTTGAAAAGCTTAATTATAGGCCATTTCCTTCACAGAAAGAACTTTTAAAATTAACTATTAAAACACTTAGTACCTACTCTGTCACTATGTATATATTTTTTCAGACCAAAAGATATTTTTAAAAGTTTAAACCTTCATATTTTGTGATAGAATGTCCAAAACACACACTCCTTGAGTTGCTCTTCTAGCTGTAACAATTTACACTTTGAACTAAATAACCTGGTTAGTCTAAGGTGGCCTCCCTGCCACCCTCCTCCACCCACTCTTCTTCATGGCCAATGAGATGCAATGGAATTGAAATTTTCTCTAAGCAGAATGACTCTTTCAAATGGTTAATGAAATCATTTAGAGGTAAACTCTAACCATTTTGCTGACATATGTTCTACAGACTTTAGTTCTCATTTGACATGTTAATTTACAAATCTGCTGGACACTTTATAGCATGTTTATCACAATTCACAAGAATCCATAAGAATCGTTATTGTTTAGGCTAGAATCTCACTTCAGTGGTACATAGTCAATGTAAAATTCTGAGGAGCTATTTTATGGGCATAAATTTAACTCCTGAAAGCACTACCGACTTCAATCCTTCCTAAAAAGGTTGTAATCTCGAATGAGGACAACCCCTAAATCTGTTCCAACCACCCAGTAAGAGGACAGCCATACAAAGTAGTTGAGTTTGCAATCTCACTTAATCACTGACTTACCAATTAGATTGCTCAACATTTTTTTCCTTTTTGTAAAAAGAATGCTAAGCAGTTATTATGAAGACAACAGATTTATAATGTGTACAGGAAACTAAAAACTACCCATAATTCTACTACCCAGAATAGGAAAACAATTCAATGTATTTGGTGTACTTCTGTTTTCTTCTCAGCATTATTTAATACACTTGAAATCATGCAGTATAAAATTTTTTCTGCTTTTTTGCTTATTACAGCTATCAAATGTTATCAAAGAATATAGCTATTAAAATGTTAAGAGAAGTTTCATTTAACAATTTCCCTACTGTTGGGCACAAAGGATGTTTTTAATTTTTAATATTCTGAACAACCAACATGAAGATATTTGTTCATAAATATTTATCTGTATTTAGAACAAATATTTAATAAACATATATTTATTCTTACCAGATTCTCCAGCACTGAAATGATCAAATGGATTCCCTTCAGCATCTGGATTTAGTAACATCATTTCAAATTGGGTATCTTCTATCTGAGATTTCTCATAGTCATCTTTGCATGTATACTTGTCTGCATAAAACACGTGCCATGTTTGTGGATATGGAATCTGGGACATTGTCAGATTATGTTCAGTCTGATTCAAAGGCACTTTAAAGAGAAACAAAACAGCACTTTCAAAACAAAACTCTTGAATGTGTTCATTGCTTTAGTCATATAATCAGTTTGAGATTAGAATCCTTTTATTTAGTTCTTCTGGCCTTAGAAATCCTGGTAGAGTTCGGGATAGGCCTACAAATCTTAAAGCAGGTAAAAATGATGTATTTTAACCAAAAGAATCACTCGAGAAGTAGTACGAAACACAAGTAATGAGTAGAATGATTTCACTGAAACTTTAGTCTAAAATTTTAATGTTAAATTTCTTCAAAGTTTCCATGTGGATTTAGTGACATTTTTGGAAATTACTTATTTGAGTTAAATTTAAAATAGAACAATAGGAAATCTTATAGTATATCCAAAATTTATGGCTGAAAAGTACTTTCAATAGATCTTCAAAGATCTCTTTTCTATTGGTTATTCTTAAAAAAGGTACTCAAAATAGAAAAACAGAAGTTACAGAAATATAAGAAGGATAACACTGGGAAAGATCCATAGGAGATAGTATGCTACAGTGGGACAGAAACCTTATGGACGTTGGCATCAAACAGATCTGTATTTGGATCCTGGCTCCAATACTTACCTGCTATATGACCCTGGGCAAGGAACATAAGCACTGGCATGCAGTTTCTCCATCTGTAAAATGAAGATAATACCTACAGCAAAGAGCTGACATAAGATCTAAGTTGAGGCACTTAGTTTTACATCTATCATAGAGTAGTTGCTAAATAAATTTTAACTCTCTGTTTTTCTTTAAAACAAAGTAGTTATAGTAGAAGGAGAGCTGTTACATTGTGGGAGATTACAGACAATGTCACGAGACAAAGTGTATGTGAATTGCTGTATGGAAGGTGAATTTGCTCAGTAAACTTTCACCCAAATCACAATAAAATTAAAAAAAAAAAACACAAAGTAGTTATATTAGTAAGTGGTTCTCAATCCAGGTTAATCCTGTATACCTCCAGGGCATTCAGAAATGTGTAGGAATAATTATCTTGTCACAATAGCTGGGAAAATATTTTGAGGGGGCTGTGGTAAATATCACACAATGGAAGTTAAAGTCTCACACAACAAAACTGTTCTACCCAAAATGCCAATAGCATTCCCTTTGAGAAACATCAGTGATGTTTAAGATCCTTTCCAGATCTAAAAGTATGATTCTGACCTAAGAGGCACTTATCACTATGACTATTACAAACAGATCTGTAGGAAGAATGGTGTCCCAAAAACTATATATTATGAAAACAGGAGTAGAATTAGAGCAAGTTTTGGCCCTACTACTTACTATTGTGTGACTCAGCAGATAAACTACTTAACCTCTGTAAATGTTTTTTCAATAGTAAAATGGAGATACCTGCCCTATCAAGCCCAGAATTCCTATGAGCAAATGAAACTGTACATGAAAGTCCTATGTAAAGAGTATGAGTCTAAACAAAGTTTTGTTGTTGTTAGTTGCCGAGTTTATTCCACCTCATGGTGACTCCATAGTCATCAGGGGAGAAGTCATCCGTAGTGTTTTCAAAGCTATGACCTTTCAGAGGCAGACTGCCATGCCAGGTGAGTCTTCTAAGAAGCCTCTGGGTGGGTTCAAACTGCCAACCTTTCTGCTAGTAGTCAAGTGCTTAACTATTTGCACCACTGAGGAAGTTCCTACTAATCTTCTTAGGTGTAATGATGTTACTGTGGATATGTAGAAGAATGTCCTTATTCTTAAGAGATATATGCTGAAATATACAAGGGTGCAATGTTCATGATAGCTACAGGTTACAAATATAAACATCACACACACACAAATACAAAGCAAATGTAATAAAATATTAACAATTATTAAATCTAAGCAGAGGGTATACAGATATTGGCTGTAATATACTTTCAACTTTTATGCATGATTAAAAATGTCATAATAAAAAGGTGGGAAAAGCTGTCCTTATGGATAAGATACAGATGCATCTAGTCAGGATTCCAATTGGAGGATTATGACTTCACAAACAAGAATGTCATTCATTATCAGTCAAAGCAGGCAAAATGATTTTAATTATAATACCACAGCATTGCTTTTTGAGCTGTCTTAAGTTAGCTGAAATTTGTACTGTTTTCTTAGTGCACAGCTTCTTTTACTAAAAATGTGGCAAAAATAACTCTAGGTCCTGTTAAATGTTTGAAGACCTTTAAAGAAATAAACCTGTGATTTAAAAAAAAAAAAAAACCTCAAAATTAAGGCTTTTAAAATGTGGATCTTGCAATTACATACTCTGGACTTCATTATTTAAAAGCTCTACTGGGTTGTTTCATCATTTACACATTTTCCCTTAGATAAAAATCATATAAAATTTAACTATTTCATAAGCACACTTCTTGATGTTTCATTTTAAATTTTGTGAATTCGCATCAAACAGAAATAAAAGTGGACTGCGTAAAAGTGATGCTGGCCTTTGGTTTTGTCTTAATGCCTTTTCAGCAAGCTTGGGAAACAGGCCTCTTGACAAAACTGTGTTGATTGTTTTTGAAACAAATGGCTACAGCACAGCATGACTATTCTATGTTGGGGTAATTAGTACATCAAATATTAACAAAACTTGAAGAGAATGGTGTTAAATGGCTAATTGCTCAATCACTGTAAAAGAAAATGAATACCGTTAACCAAAACATAAAAATAATAACATGTTTAAATGATTTATCAAATACACAGATATACAAAATGATCATTGGAGTTCTGGTAGCGTAGTGCCTAAGGCACTTGACTGCTAACTGGAAGGCTGGCGGTTCAAACCCACCAGCCACTCCTCGGAAGGAAGATGGGGCAATCTACTTCCATAGTGATACTGCCTCGGAAACCCAAGGAGGG